CTTATCTTTTGCTGCCCTGCCCACCAAGCTCAAAGCCAGCAGGGTGCCAAGCAGCCTAATCTCCGCAGATGTTGCTGCGATAACCTCACAGCTGAATTTCACATCTTACCGTTTTGCACATAAAGATTTGAATGGCAGAACAGAATCTTTTACACACCTTGGTGCCCGACTACGTAAGCTGCACCTTTTGCATTTCCCAGATGTTTTTCATTCCAGGAGTGGAGAAAGCAGCAGTGAAGCTCTCCTGGTAAAGGTAGACTAGCTGGCATTTGGCCTGAGCAAGGGAGCTCCCAGCTGTCTGTGCTCCTGACTGGGGAGGTTCTTCCCCCTCTCCCTGCCTCTTCTTTGTTCCTTCACACTAGGATCTGATGGCTGATCTCCAGGGCGCTGTCTTGACATGTTTCTCTTGCGGAAGGAGAACCTGGTGGAGAGACGGCCAGTCTGGCCACATTCAGAAGGCAGGACAACTCTCTCTTTCCTTCAGACCGAGTTGCTGAAGCAGCAGACCTGCTCCAGATCAAAGAAACCAGCTGCTTCAGTGGGTGCTGCTTGGCTCAGATGCCTGGACCCTTTTAAACTTGCTGCAGAAATGGTATAAAATATGTACAAGACCTTTGACTAGCAACCACAAACTCTAGGGGGACTTTTCTCTGCTTCGTATTAAGAACCTCCTCAACCAAGTTGAGTTATGTTTTTTCCCCATGTAAAACTTGTTCTAGGTTGTTTTTGGTTCTCAGCCCACAGGAAATGATTTCTTCATTTCTCCACACCTAGTGGTTCTGCTCCTGCATCCTTGAGGCCCTGCTGCACATACTAGTTTGATTTAAAAAGGGCCTTCCCACTAGCACCACAGGTATTGTACGAAATACTAAATTAATCCATTGGCAGGGGAGTGCTGCTAGTCCTCATTACCTCCTGGATTTTTTCCTGAAATATTTTGCTTGCATTCCAGCATGCATTCCTAATATAATGATCCCCTTCCCCAGTCTCACTTCCTTACAAATTTATTCGTTCTTGCAGCCTGAACCAAACCTGGACTATCCAGTGCACCTGGAGGTGCTTTGCTTTATATGCCTTCCTTTCTCCCACAAAATGTGTAGCCAGGTCACTTTAAAATGTTGTTATCTTATGCAGTTGTCAAGACTCTTATGTCCTATGACTCTTATGTCGAATCTCTTGCACGAGAGGTCTGGTGGTCTCATTCATGCAATTCTTGGCAGAGAAATCTTCAGTCTGCCTTCTGGTACAGGCGTTGCGGTGGGGGGAGAGGGGGCACGACGGCAGGTTATGCTAAGCATAACTGATACAGGACCTCTTCAGGAACGGATCCTCAAAGACTCCCGTTTGGAGCTGCCTGCTCCACAGAGAAGCAGACCCCCTCCTATGGAACGGCGGTGAATGCAGGAAAAACAGAGACCTCTCAAATAAAATGGAATATTTGTGGAGCATTCTAGTGTTTTGTGCTTTGTGCATGTGAGCGGCGTGATGGCCAGATCTGTTGATGGCACAGTGTTATCCGGAGTGGCTTAGGGAGAAGAAGAAAAATTGTGAAGAATTCCAAAAGGACCACTGTGATCTGGGGAGGAAGATGACAATTGTGGTTTGGCGTAAGTCAATGTCAAGCGATGCACACTGAGACCCAATACATGCATCCTTTGTCATATACGCCAATGGGATTGCCTAACAGGTACTTCAAGAGGCAGCATTCCTTGCATTACCAGTTAGAAGCACAGCTCTTTCCACTGGATGATCCGTGCAACTTATGCAGCCAAACTGCGGGGATGGCACTGTGGCGTGGCCTTCAGAAGAAAGCCCGAAATGTCTTGCTGGAGTATCCTCATACAGTCAAACAGTGCAGCTCCTTTTACTTTCTTGGAGTAACTTTCATGGAGACTCTGAATGGAAAACAAACCTTGCAATGCTTAAATCCGCAGCATTAAGGATGGTAGGGTCAGCTTTACACTTTTCCTATACAAAGGGTGGATGCTTGATTGACCCGGCACTAAAATTATTCATAAGCAAGGTTGTCCCTCATCTCCTGGGTGTTCAAGGATAGGCTGGGTATGTACATGGTAGGCATGTCATGAGTGGAGCTGGCTGGAGACGGGGGTCAGACTAGATGGCCTGGGAGGCCCCTTCTGACTCACTCTGTTTCTATGTTTCCTATATGGAGCTGAAGAATGGGGTTGGAAGGAGGATATTCTGGCCAATCTGGAGGTAATCTAAAACCAGTTTTTAAGGTGAATGCTATCCCTTCCCAGGGGAGGTTCTGCTTCTCTGATGAAAGTTGGACTCCCCTCTCTTAGGGCTCGGGTACACCTCATAGTCATAAAATATTGGAAAAAGAATACATTTTCAAGTTCTATTTGTACAAGTTACCCAAGTAGACAATTTTCCATTCTTTAAAGATTTTGGGTGACTAGCTGATATCCCCAACAATAAGCTGAGAGGGTCTTTCACTGCTTTGTGTTTTCAGTCCATGCAAACATCTCTTTTTATGAGTTGTTGTTCTCACACTCCAGCAGAACACTGGGTATGTATTTGTGATTCTCCTGCAAGAGAGAATCTTCCCCATTGCCTGATATGGCCTCTCCCCCTGCTTCCTGGGAACAGACGGGGGAGGGTCTCCCACCCAAAATGAATGCTTAGCTGTAGGAGCTTCCCGACAAGAGGTGGTACATAGGCACGAAGCTTGTGCGTGTGAATGCTCAGAGAACCACTCGAAGAACAACAGGTACAGGTAAGCGACCTGCCTTTCTTTTTTCTTCTCAAAACTGGGTACTGCTGTTCTCACACAAGGATGTACTGCATGGAATGCATGTCAGCTCTGAAGCTCGTACCCCTTCTAAGAATTATGATGTCGTTCTGAGTGAATTCCTGAGTCGAGGAGTTAAAACCTAGCTGCAGGGCTGCCTAAGGCATGGGATTAGAGGTCTTTCAGTGTGCCTTGGCTGGGCAGCCACAGTTGTAAGCCACAGCGGGAACCTGTGAACTGTTATTTAATTTTCTACAATGCCATATGTAGGGCATTGTGGGAAATCAAAATGGCAGCTTCTGATGGCAGCCACCAGGTGCATTTTTAAAGATGATTTTAAAAAATGCTTTTAAGGCAATTTACTCAGCTGCATTTCTATAGCACTCCTTTAGCCAAACGTCTCTGGCTGATTCACTAGAGGAAGGTTAAAAGTATAAAATTTGCAAATGCAGTAAAACATCCACTGAAAAAAACCAAGGTAAAACCAGCAGCAGTGTGTGAATCTTAATACAGAAGGACTTAAAAGCCTGGGAGAATGAAAAAGTGTCCACCCGATGTTGAAAAAACTGCTGTGGGGGTGCCAAACAAGCCTCTCTGGGGACACCAGGGTGCCATAACCCACCTGGCTTCCTTCAGCAGATCTCAGAAGGGGCCTTGGGAGATGGGTAGGTATGCAAGGGAGGAGAGGTTTTGTCAGGTAAACTGTTCCGAGCTTTCAAGGTCAATACCTTTGGAAAGGAGATCCAGAAAGCAGTGATGGGGCTGGCAGAGTGCTGTGTGCAAATGCCAGGGCTTGGCAAAGCCAGCAGACAGCAGATGATGGGTAGGAGAGATGCAGTCTGACACAATCGCAGGGCACCAGACTGAGATGTAGGCCTCCTCCTCCAACCTGGTACCCTCCAGATATTTTTGGCTACACCTCCCAGCACCTCCAACCATTGGCTTTGCTAGTGAGCACTGGGCTGGAGAAGCCTGCGATCGTGGGAACTTGTCTAGAAAACATTCCGTATGTCTTCAGTTCCCTATTTTGCATAGCTGGAAGGGCTGCAACTGCCTTCATTGCCATCTTGTGAGTATGCCAATCCCAAAGAACTGGCTCTTGATTGGACTCCAGACCATCTAAAATAGTGGCTGTGAGCACATTTTAACATGCATTTGAAGGCTGGGAAAGTAAACCGATACAAGGACATGCTGAGAGTGTTCTTTCCTTCAAAGGGCGTGGTGTTTCCTCCATGGTGTTTTAGGAAAGCGTGCCTTATGATAAGCATTGTCCTTTGTTCCAAGTCTCCCTCCAACACAATTGGCCCATTCACCATCCACAGGGCACTTAAGCTGTGGCAGAAAGTCATTTTTAACCTTCCTCTTCAACGGAACCTAAACACTGGGGAAGTTGTCTTCGGTGCCTGCCATCTATACTGATGGTGAGCTCAGCTTGCCAGTCCTGATGTATCTGAAGTGGCATCGTCCATGCATGGGGATCCATCAAGGCTTTGGGTGAAAGGGAACTCCAGAGGGAACCCCAAAGAGCTCTGTGAGATCATCCTATGGTCAGTGGTCCCAGAATGCTGGGCGTCTGTGCAGGGCAAGAATGGAAATTCTGGTTTTGGGGCAAGAGGCATGAAATGAAGTGCCCTCAGAAATGGCACGGGCAGCTGAATTGCTGGACCAGGATGGATCTACACCACAACATTTAGTTGCAGGTCTCCTTCGTATTATGCTTATGGTTATAAGCAGCCCTGGTTTCAGGCTCAAGAAATGGTAAGAAAGGGGGTACAGAAGGGATGAGAGGTGTCGGGAGGGTTTCAAATGGAAGACTGGAATGCCTGTGGACTTCTTGTAAAATACCATGTTCGGGGCAGGGCAGTTACAGTTCAAACCGTCTCTGGAAGCACCCAAAGAGAGAGGAGCTGCCAGGAACTGCATGCAAACGGCACCCCTTTGCGATTCCAGTCTTGTGCATCCTGCAGCAAATAGAAAGATGAGTTCTCAGCACACAGTTGTGCAAGATGTGTAGAAGCGTTGTTGATCTGAATTGCTGTACATTTCGTACTGAAAATGGTTGTCCTCCTCAGAAGATCTCCAGGAAATGGGACAGTAATATCTTTGAAGACAGATTTGGGACAATGGTGGGAAATCTGTTTACTTGCCAAGATAAGCCTCTTGTAATGTCATTGTTCTCAGCAAGTATATAGTCAGCAGAAAAAGGACGAGAAGCAATAGAAAGAAGGTGAATTGCAAAGAAGAGATGGATCTGCACATACTTCCAAGGCTATTTGTGGTCTGGCTCTGGTTTTTCACCTGGGTAGAGGCGACTGATGATCCCAACGTATGTCCAGGTAGGAGATGATTCATTTTGTGATGGCAGTTGAAGAGGGGAATTCGTTCCCTTAGGTCAGGTCAGACCAAATTCACCATTGCCTACAACAGAGGAATGGAAAAGCAAGACTGGGGACTGCTGGCAGATGGCTGGGCACTTGGCCGCCAAGCTGCAGCAGGAAGAGCAACTCAGCTGTGTTCAGTTTCTAGCTTCTTCCATGGCTGGCATTCTGCCATTGCTCATCTCGTTCCCCAAGTTCTCCCTCACCTGCAAAATGGGAATATTCATGGGTTGTCCTTGGCTAGAGCCTTCTGCAACTCTACTGGCCGCCTTGAACACTGATGCCCAAAGCCCCGTTCAGTCGTAATGCAAATGGAGATTTCTATTGGCATTCACAAGATATGCCTGTATAATTGACTCCCTCTGCTGTCTCTAATTAGTGGATCTCCAGGATCCCACAGGAAAAAAAAATAAACCCCACAAGCAGGAGGTCCACCCAGCCACATCCATGGAACTGACCAGCAGCAAATCTCTGGGGTTTCAGACAAAATATTTTCCTAACCCCAGCCCGAGCTGCTGGGTGTTGAACGAGGGCCTTCTACACTCCCACATGGCCTCTCCCATAAGTGGGAACCCCACAGCATCACCCAGGACTACGGTAGGGGAGATCCCTTTTGCAGAGAATCCTACCATTTCCCACTGTGTGGGGAAATGTTGCATTTTCCCACACAGTGGAAGAAGGCAGAGGAAGTCCTGCTTCCGTGAGACAGAGCTTTTTTTAATGCCAGTGGTGGGTGATCTGCATGCAGCTGGTGGAACAGCTGAGGTGCCACATTATTTTGGGCTCTTCCGCAAAGCGCAGGGATGGGGAGAAGGGAATGGTGGTACTGCCGCCGGGGTGTCACAGGCCAAAGGTGCTGGAGATGCTAGATCCAAGATGGGGGACTGACTCAGCCTAATTTTAAATGGCTTCTTCCATTCGAGGGATGAGACCAGAGCTTTGTTAAGAGGTTTGTTGGGGAAGGAGGAATAATGGCAGATGGATGGAGGGATGGACAGAGGGATGAATAAGGAGAAGGAGAAAGAAGGGAGCGGCGGCAACAGAGAGAAAAGCAGTGGCAGAGAGAGGAGAGGGGAAGAAAGGATGGCAGGAAAGAGAGAATAGCAGGATAGCAGAAAGAAAAAATTCAGGTGCATTTTTGGCTCTGGTTCCATTTCCAACTTTCCACCCTAACCATCACCAGCATATAGCCCCTCCTCTCTACCTGGATTACTTCCAAGAGGAAGCAGTCCTTGACAGAAAGGGCTCCTCCCCCCCGCCCCCCGCCCCCGCCAGCAGCAGTGCAGCAATAACCCACACAAGGTTCTTCATTACTGCCGGAGTCTCCGCCAGAAAGCGTGGGGGACAGTTTCATTTCCCAGCAGCTCCGCAGTGTGATTTGAGCCAGGGGAGCCACAATTTGTCAGAAACAGTTGTGGCGGCTGGGAAGACATTGTCTGGAGCAACACAATCAATAATGGCACACAACTGTCTCCCCCCTGCCCCCCCCCCCGCCACAAAAGCCACTTTAGAGGCTCTTGATGCTGTGCACTGACACTCTTCTGAAAGCTGTGGGAAGAAAGAAGGGTGGAAAGGCAGGAAAGGTGCTGCTGTTTGGTAAGGTGTGGAGGCGCCTGGGGGAAGAGCAAACTCTGGGAAGACAAGATGGGGGGGGTGCAGGGAGAGGGGGGAGAGGGAGAGATCCAGGGGAGAAAGTAAAGGAAACGGGACACCCGAAGAGCGCGGGGGAGCACAGGGGTTGACTGGTCCAAAGTCCTTCACTCCTGGCCTCAGTCCAGAGTGCACAGTGCTACACAACACTGTGTGGGCCTTCCTGTGTGTAAAAGAAAAAGCGTGTCCTTTATCCGTTCTCCTCTCCTGAAATTCCACCCCCCATCAGCGGTGATGGCGCTGCAAGGATGTTTGGAGATGTGATCAGGAGCATTTCTCTGAGTGGCTGGAGACACAGTGCAGCGTTTGTCAAGGGTTACGCTCAGGATTGCTAGATCGATTCCACCTGGTGCCCTCCAGATGTTCTGGCCTGCGACCCATGATGCAGCTCGGCCCTTTTAGACCCTGGACTTAATGGTCTTACAAGGATCACTTTTAGAGGGACATGTGTACAAATTCAGTTGTGACGTGTAACTAACATTTTTCTTCATCCTGCAACCGGCATTCTTTACCAGCCTTCCCCACCTTGTGTCTTCCAGACACATTTGGACTGCAACACCCAGTATTCCCACTCGATTATCCTGCTGGATGGGAATTCTGGGAGCTGTGGTCCAAATGCCTCTGCAGGCCACCAGGGTGGGGAAGGCTGTCCTTTGCTTTTACATACTTGGTATATTAGAACAATTAAAACAACAAAACTGTTTGGCCATTTTGGTTGGGTTTTTTAAGCACAATTTCTGAGCCTGCTTGTCCAGTTTCGCATTTAAGCCCACTTAAAGCATAAGCATTGTGACTTCGGGTGCAAAGCAGATTTTGGCATTGCCACCCTGAAGCTCCCCACTCTTGGCGGTCACAGGAGGGCATCCTTAGCCGCAGGGCCCCAGACTCCAGCTGCAAGGTCCAGCCTTAGCTTGTACCACCAACTCCGGGTGTCAGCAATGCCAAACAGCATGGCTGAAGGTCAAGAATCCTGCAAACGACACACAATTTGGTTTGCATCTGCAAAGGACACACCATTTTCCTCCATCATGTTGTCTTTCCACAGAGGTGAAGATCGTAGGTCTTTCTGGCAATGAAAGGCCTGCCATTTTGCAAGGGTGCCCTGGTATCCCTGGAGCAGCAGGAAGCCATGGAGAAAAGGGGGAACCTGAACCACCTGGCCTAAAAGGTATTAAAGAAGTGGGAGTGATGTCATACTGAGAGGCCCACCTAAGCTGCTGTTCTCTACTTACAGGCATTCTGTTTGAAAGTCTGAATTCAACTGAAGGATAAAGAACCCCAGGAAGGGATAGTGAAGGCCTTGAAATCAACCATCAGTTAGTACATGATCAACAGGTTCACCTGGTCACCGTAATTTCCCCACTCACTATGTGAAATGTATATTAAATTATAGTCCCTGGGCAGAACCTCATGAGACCTCTGTTGAGTCCCGTCCACCCTGCCACTTCCCACCTTCAAGCAGGGCTCACAGATCTTGTGGAACCAAGATTTGGTATGCCTGAATCAACTGCAGACAAGCAAAAGTCACTTCTGGCATGGGAGGAGTCCCCACACGAATCATGAAGCAAAACTTTCAACTCATTTCAAGGCTTCCTCTGGGACATCCGATATCTGTGCTGTCCAGGCAGTAGACAACTTTCCTTAGTTTCTGCAAAATGTTTCTCATTTTAAAGTAAAACTAACTTTTCCACAGCTGTCGTTTCATCTCAGACCTTTCACGGTGCCCCTCACACCCTTTTGCCTCTCTTTCAGGTGACATGGGAGCACCTGGGAAGCAAGGACCAAAAGGTAACCTGCCAGAGATTTGGACTCATTCGATCCAGTTAGGAGATCCTTGGCCATTTGCTGTCAGTTTTGAGCTGCCATCCTGCTCCTTCAGCTTGCCCCCCCCCCCCCCACACACACACACTTCATTGGGAAGTTCATCTTCTTTCAAAAGAAGAGCACACTGCCTTTTCTCTGCCATGTGTTATCATTTTGCCATCCACACCGAGTAGCTGAACCCCCATTTCTTTCCTGTGTCTTTTACTTTGGACATATCTGAAGACTTTTGTGTTGCTTTCGGCATCCCTCACTAGCCTCAGTTCATTCTAGCATTAGCCTTCCTGATGCTCTCCTGCAATTCTGTGCTACCTGTCTGTATTCTTCCTTTGGGTCTGGCCTTCTTCCACTTCCTAGACATGTCCTTTTTATTTTCAGATCATCTCTAAGCTTTGTGTGAAGCCACGTGGGCTTTTGCTGTTGTCTTCTACCCCTTTTCCTTGTTGAAACTGTTTATAATTGTACCTTTAGAATTTTCTTTTTTAAAAATTCCCACCCATCTTGGACTCCTTTTCTCATTAGAGTTGCTAGCCATCAGTTACTTGCCAATGAGTTACTTATCATTGTTCTGAGTTTATTAATATGAGCTTTTTTGAATCTGGGGTAAATGTTTGGCTACATTTGGCTTTTGCTTCCTTTGGAATCAAGAATTCAAGTCTTGCATGGTCAGTTTCCCCCACAGTTCCCATAGCTGCCCCCTTGTCTGCTAGCTCTTCCTTGTTGGTTAGTACCCAGTCAAGAATAGTGGTCCAACTCTCTGTTCAAGAGCAATTGAACAGCAATGCATGTTAGGAATTCCCTGGACGGGCCATGTTTGGCAGAATTTGTCTTTCAACAGATATTAGGGGAATTAATAGTGGCTTACATACCATAAAACATGAAACCATGGGTTTGCCTGAGCACTGAACAGGGATCTCATTCAAAATGTTTTCCCAAATGAGAATGGGAGAAACCTGCCATGACAGGTAAACTGGCACCATAATTAACTGTGGTTGCTTTTATGAACATGGCCAAGCCCATTATTTCTTGCATATGCACTGACAGCATGTGAGGATGATGGGAGATGAAGACTAACCATAACTGAAGTCTGAAGGTTGGGAAATACATGAATAGCCTGTTCTGTTGCAGCATGAGGCTCCTAGTGTCAAGTCAAGGCAGGTCTTTCAGAGCAGAAAGCAGAACCTTGGACAGTCCCCAGTGGGCCCTGCTGACTGAGCTACAGAAAGCTGTTGCTTCAGCAGTGAGTCAAAGCCACCAGAGGCCTTATTGGGCCTGCATGAGACTCTGCCCCCTTGAAGGAACCAGCTGTGTTCCTTAAAGGACCTGATTCTGGATCTTTTGACTCCTGCAAGGTCTAAGAAAGGCAGAGACTGCTTGGGAGACCTGTCTTCTGATTCAGAGGTGGGGGTTGGGCCATGTTGGGTGGATGGGAAAGCCTAGGGAATGGAAATTGAGGTTCTGGTGAGGGAAGGAGGCCTCAGCCTCATCCTAATCTGAGTCTCCCTGTGGGACCCCAAGGCCAGAGCCAGGTCAGTGTGTCTCAGCTTGTGCTTATTTGCTCCGTAATGTGTTTGGTTTCTTTAAATACCAGGCAAACCCCCGGATCTTTTGTCCCTGTGTGAGAATGGTAAGCTTTTTTATTGCCTCTTCAAGGAAATGCCCCCAAATGCCTGCACTTCCTCCAGTTCCTCCTGTTGATGGCAGCACCACAGGACCTACTGCAGTAAGAAAATGAATCAGTCTGGAGTTTTTCAAAGCCGGAAATTGTCTCTGCTTTAAAGCGATGCTCAGACTTTGAAATTCCACGGTTTTTCTTTCATTCATTATAATTGATTTAACATCCCCTTTTCATGGAAAGAAGCTCAGCTGAGCTACTGATAAAATTCCAGGCATCACTACCCATGGCTGAAGCTGCATCTAAAATGCTTCAAAAGCGCCGATGAATAAAGCTTTACATGTCTTATAAATGTAGTCTGATCGAGACTAAGGGGCAGCTCCCTCACCCAGAACCAGTTAGAAACATGGAATAGCAATCATTATCCATGTAATTTTAATCCAGTGATTGTCAGAACATTTCTAGATTAAAACATGCGGATTTATTGAGGACACACAAATTACAAAATGGAAAAAACCCCCATCCTTTCAATTATATCTACCTTGTCATAGATATGTTAGATGTTTAACACAAACAAAGTGGGTTTTAAACTGTGTTAACAATAATAGGATTTATTACTATATTTTTATCCCACCTTCTTTCCTGTAAGGAATCCAGGGCAGTTTACATAGTCTTCCTCTTCTCCCTTTTATCTTCACAACAGCATTGTAAGGTAGGTTAGGCTGAGAGTCCGTGACCGCATGCCCTGAAATGTGGGCTGGTCTTAATCCACTGTAGGCAAAGGATCAGTAGCTAAGTAAAGCCTAAGCAGTGCCCAAGATCCCGGGGCCCTGGCCTTGGACTCGTGCCTGCCATAGAGAACAGTCATTCTGGGTGACTGAACCAACAGCCACCCGCCATTTTGAATTCCCACACTGTCTCTGTTTTGCAGCTTTCTGGGGCACTTCAGCAAATTCACCTGGGACTCATCAGTTTCATGGCCTGGTCCACTGCCAGGTAAGCCCACTAGATCTCACCAACACAGGAAGGTCCTCCTCAAATTTGAGCCCTGCTACAAGCAGAACTATGTGGATTCTCAAATGGGAACTTGCTAAATGCTGCCCCTGAGAATGGCCACTGTCCAGCTACCTCCCTCCTCTCACTCTGAACAGTTGGATAATTTTCCCCCGAGCTCCGACATCACAGCACCCTGCATTTCCTAACCTTCCAGTTGCCAGAGTCCCAGTGCTTTGACTCTCCAGTCAGCACAGATGGCTGGGTCCAGCCGCCACTTAAATTTCCCACCATATCCCAAGGCAACGCTACATCAGAAGCATCTGCCGCAGGGTGCTTTAGTCCAAAGCGCCCTCAAGCAAACCTTGAGTTGGGTCCTGTTGCTCTGCATGCATGTGCACACATGTGTACACACACACACACACACACACACACACACACACACAGAGAGAGAGAGAGAGAGAGAGAGAGAGAGAGAGAGAGAGAGAGAGAGATTGTCAAGACCATGAGATTTATATAGATTCAAGTTCCAAGATTCCTGAAACTTGGAACTAAGGGGACTCTACAGATGTGCACATCAGGATTATTTTGTTTTTAAACCCCCTTAATTTTCATGTGTTCATGCGGTTGAAGCCTGCAATTGAATCTTCAGCCAGTCAAGAGAGACTTCCCTAACCAGTACATGCTTTGCAGTCCATAAAGCATGAAGCCAGGAGAAACTGGAAAACCAGGGATCATTGTGCACCTGCCCCCTTTCCCATGCTGTGGGGCAGCCTCCTCTCAAAGGAATGGAACAGGCAGACACTTGAGGAGCATAGGGGGTTATAGGGGTGCACCATGGTGCCCCCCCCCCCACACACACAGAAGAACATGGGAGGCTTCCTCATAGGAGATCCATGGTGGCCATGCTACCAAACAACTTTCAATGAATTCTGCCACTCTGTTGCATGTTGTCCTTTGGCACCTTTCCCCAGGTCCAGGGAACTGCAAGGAGCTCCAGAGCAAGGGGGAGCTCTTGAGTGGCTGGCACACCACCTGTCTGCAAGACTGCAGGTCGCTGAGGTCCTCTGTGACATGGGCACCAACGGAGGGGGCTGGCGAGTGAGTGGCTGTCCCTGCTGCAGGGTTGCTGGGCACTTCGTTGTCACAGCAAACTTTGCTTTTCCTGGTTTTGAGCATGGCTCATGACCATCTTGCAGGGATTCCCAATTCTGCCTGGTGATTCCCCACCCCATTTCATCTACGTCAAAAGGGCCGTTTATTCAAGTCAGCGGATAGTTTTTACTGCTGCCCTACAGAATGATACGTTGCTGTCATGCCACCATGTTTCCCCCCCCCCCCCAATGAAGGAATAACTTCCAGATGGAGCTCACCTCTCATTTGTGCTTTTCCTGCATTTCTTTCTCAGGTGTTTCAGAGGCGATGGGATGGCTAGGTTGATTTCTACTGCACCTGGAGTGCCTACAAGAAAGAATTTGGGAACCACTTGTCAGAATTCTGGCTGGGCAATGACAACATACTGTACATCTTCTCACACAGGAGGGTAACAGAACGGAGCCTTTTGACGTGGGGAATTGTTGCATGGAAGCTTGCGAGAGAGACCTGCTGTGCCCCTGCCAGCCTCTGGGAGGCAAGCGAGAGCTTTGTTGTCTCTCACAAGAAGAGAACCCTATTTACTGGCAGGGACCTGTCAGTACAAAATGTTAAAAACTGTGTTTAGGGCACTCTGTGAGGTTGTGTAACAGAGTGCAGAGCAAAGCAGGCAGGCCTCCCAGGGCAACTGCCAGGGACCTGGGAGGCCCCACCAGCAGTAACACCTGTTGAGATCCTCCATGTGGAACACCTGGATCCATGTGCCCCTATTTAAACTTCCCACCATCCCCTAGATTGGCACTACACGGAGTGCTCCATGGCATTGTGAGAAATTAAAATGGCTGTCCTGGAGTGAGGATAGCAGTGTCTTGGGGGGCAAATTGAGGCGAACCTACAAGAAGACCCACCAAAAGACACTTGATCTAGGCCCACTTTAGATCTGGGCCTAGCTCTGAAAATGATGCCACCTGGGTAAAACTAGAAGGATCGCTCAAATGATTCTTAGATAATGTCAGGGATCCCAAAGCTGACACTAGGAGCCTTCCAGTGTCTTAGGGCAGAAACTGAGCTTGGCAAGCTCCCATGAATGTGCTTATATTATGTTTTTATTTATTTTATGCAATATTTTGTAAGCCATTTTTAAGTTAATTTGATAACAAAGCAGAGTATAAATGTTTCAATGCAGAGTCAACATCCAGCAAGTTTTGGCAGCGACATCATGGCAGCCTGCTGTAGCAGAACGTTTTACAATGTATTGGTATATGTGTTTACTTAGAGTAAGCCAGAAGATACATAGTTCAGCCAGGCCCACTCTAGGGAAAGGATATCGTGCATAGGACTGCACAACACCAGCAAGAAGCAGAAATCAGGTTTCTTTAAGCATTTCTAGACAAAGCTCTTTAACTTCCACTTTGATTCCAGAATTAAGATCTGGATTCTGTGCAGTTTCTCCCACCTTTCCACACATGACCTCTACATAGTGCTGCAAATTAGTAGAATAGTGCAGCTACAGAAAGGAGAACCAGTGCTTTTGCAATTTCACAAAAGATACTGGATCTTCCCTCACTTAAAAAATAGCCCTGCAAAATTGCTTTTACAAACTGGAAGAGGAAAGCATTTGTAAGTATGCACGAATGAGAGATATCAAGCGCACAATCAGATTCTAGTTTAGAAAAGCTTTTTATTATTTGCTTCTTCCCATTTGCTTTGCAATGCTGGTTGAGAGATGTAAGAGATAAAAAAATATGCTGAACTGCTGCTCTCTTTTTCTCAGGAGTGCATGAGCTCCGGGTGGACCTGGTAGACTTTGACCACCAAAAAAGCTTTGCTTATTATCAGTCCTTCCGGCTCTGCTCCAGGGAGAAGAGGAGAACTACCGGCTTGCCCTGGGGGCATTTTTGAAGGCTCTGCAGGTGAGGAACTTCATTGCTGGGTTCACCTTAGATGTACTTGGGCATGTTGTTCTGTCTTCGTGTTACTTGCATGGAAATGGCACATTTATCATCTTGTATTTCAAGTTACAAAAACAAGGAAATTAAACATGAGAAAAAAGCACCTGACCAGTGGTGCAGTGTCATGTTTTGAAGTGCGGGCACTCAGCGTAAACATCTCCGTAGCCACACCCCAAAGAGACACCAAAAGAGCAGGTGGCGGAGTTGGCCCATTTTTTAAAAGTTAAAAGTTCTGCCACTTTTTATCTCCAGCAGGAACGGGTCTTTGGTCAAAGTGATGAGGTTTAATTGCACATTCAAGGGCAAATCTCTTCAAAATTCTTTGCATTACCACGGGGGCGGTGGGGGGGATATATTTTGCATGGAAAAATTAACTTCTCCCTATGTGGAGTAGGAATGAGACGAACCGTTTCAGAATCCGTCCCTCCAGCATCTGCAGATTTGCCCCTGTGCTTGGCCCAATCCTGCAGAGCAAGTCAAGCCAAGAGGAAGTCCATAAACACACAAGGACACCAGTTGCGCAACCTTCCCACCCACTGCTGCCGGAGGCGCCAACAGGGGGCTGTGCGTGGGTGCGCCAGGGTGCAGAAGACGGATGCCGCTTGTATAGTGCATGGGGTGCAATTCCTGCCAAGCACTCCACAAACGCTGGGAGCACTTGCTAGAAATTCAGACTCTGGGGTGCTGCCTCTCTGGCAGATTCCCCCCCCCCCCCCGCCCCAGACCGATTCCTGCTACATCTGGATTGTGGAGGCACTGTACTAACTGGGAGCAGGGAAATCCGGGGATGCTGGCTGACGCCATCAGCATCCCTGCCCGTGGCAAAGGGCTGGATCTACTACACGAGCCTTCCTCAACCTGGTGGCCTTCAGAGGCATTTGGGCTGCAACTCCCAGAATTCCCATGCAGCAGGGCCACTAACTGGGAATTCTGGGTGCTGCAGTCCAAACGTCTCTGGAGGGCACAAGGCTGGGGAAGGCTGAGCTACACCACTGGTCCAGGTCAGCTCTTGGTCTTGCAACATGCTGCAGTGCCGCTGCGATGGACATGATCCGGGGCTGGGAATCTTTGCTTGGTGCAGCAACCGCACAAGAAAGGGCTGCCAGGTGGTATTTGAACTGCTGCCACTCAAACCTGAACAGCGGCTACCCAGTTGGAGATCAGAAGGGCCGGCGGCATGGCATCGGCTGGGCCACAGGCGAGGGAGATGGCAAGTCCTGCACACACGCCGAGATAAAGATCCGTTGAGCAGGCCCCAAACGATGGCCTGCAGGTTAATAATAAATAAAGGAAGCAGAACCAAGAGTGCGAGTGCGCACACACACATGCGCGGTGTGTCCATTTTGCACATACTTCCAGGGTTGCGAAATTCTTTCTCATTTATTTATTCATAGCTTTAAATACTGTTCAGCTACTAGCGTTTCGGGATGGTCCTCCAGCAAGGACCTTTTTGCTGTACCTTTCTCTTTTTGAAAGGTATCAGAAAGAAGATTCATAAAGGCCAAGCTGTTTACATTGCCCACTTGGATCTCACCAGCAACTACAAGTTTTTAGAACATACACCGAGTATTTTATAGATTCTGAGCCACATGGGCCCAGCAGTTGGGCAGCTGATGACAAATAAGGTGAACACAGTCAGAAGAAGGTGAGAGGTCTGCAGAGAGGGCTCAATACAATGGCATTTGATTGCAGGATATTAACATAACCATCACAGGACTGTTGTGAGTCTTGGCATGCAAATGAGGCTGCTTGCAATGCTGTTAGCCTGGCATCCTGACCAGTTCTTACGGATCAGCAAAACTATAGCCCTGGCAGCTTCTTGGGGAAGCCATCAGGTCCCACTTGTTAAAGTAGCAGCAAATTCCTAACAGTAACCTGGCTTGGAATTTTTTTGGGTGCTTCCTGAGAAAGGCTGCAAGCATTTTATAACATAAAGACACATAAGCATCCCTTTTCTGCCAGGATTTATCTACATTTTCCCAGCAGTGCCTGGCCCAAAATCTCTCAGTGAGCTTCACAGCCAAACTCAGAGCTCCCAGGTGCCCAGTCTAACAGCCTCACCACCGTGCCACACTGGCTCGCTCTCCTCATCATCACCGCACCTAAAATATCTAGACTGAAGAAAGGGACAGAAATGTTTTGAACAGACGAACACTATAACCCATACACAAACAGAGTAAGGAGTTTCACAGCCACTGGAGGGACTTTTCTACTGGGAGTAAACATGCAAAGGACTGCACAGAGAGCACGGAAAAAACATTTCTCAACACACATTCACTGCATAACAAGACATCTGCTCGTAAAGCAGGGAAAGCATTTCAGAAATAAATCTACTGCACTTAAAATATTTCTTTGTCAACCCCCCCCCCGCCCAGTTTTAAAGCTTCATTCCCACGAAAAGAGAAAGAATGTGAAGAGTCTAAGTCATGTCACATGAACAGGGCAAACTTCCCCTCCCCCACCTCAGTTCATTTTCTGACTAAAAAGGAGACTGCAAGAACCAGTTCCTCCACAAATATGTAGCTAATCTGCTTCTCCTCTCTCAAAATCAGGCACAGATTCTCAAGTTGAAGTATGCGTTGGCTGGAAGGGTGTGGCGCTTTGCTATGGCAAGCAACTTTCCTCCCTGCAACATCTTTTCCCAGATGAGGCTTCCAAGAAATGACTAAGGAAGTTAATTTTTTTTCTAGGAAGGAAGAGATAATTGTCTACCTGGCAGGGAAGCCCGCCTCATCAGCTTCGTCCCTCCAACAACGTCACCTGGCAGGATCCATTCCATTAGGCTGATGTAAGAGAGAGAAGGCCACATCTTGGTTTGCTTCTCCCCTCTTCCCTCCTGATTGCCTTTCCTCTTGCATCATGTCATTATATTGTAGGCATCCAGGAAGGGACTTATTTCTAGTCTTTGTAAGTGGCACATGACAGATGGAGAGACAGCTCACAGAAACTTCTGGAATCCTGTCACTGCGTCCAATTATCTACATGGGTGTTTGATACTTTGTGAACTGTTAGCATCAAAAATATGCAAACTGAATAGGAACAGGGTTTTTTTTTGGGGGGGGGGGTTGGAAGCATTTATGTCCTTATCATGAGCCCCTTTCCTCAAAATAAAAAATAATGTTTCCTCAGCTTGGCCCTTACCCCTTTGGTCAAAGTCATAGAAGCTGTAGGGGATCTCTCTCTCTGTCTCTCATATCTCCATCCATCCATCCATCTCACACCAAAACTACCTGAGAAATTCTTGAAGAATTCTGCCCGATTTGCTGGAGGAAATCTTGAGTAAACAGAGCAAGCTGGGTGGAACATATCCCATATTTGGGGTGGTACTTTTTGAAAAGGAAATATTCTTCCTGTACTTTAAAAACTCTCATTTTTGAATAGAATTGTTTCCATACCTGGCTTATAGTCACTTCTTCAGGACTCCGCTTGTTTCTCCATCATCCCATTCCTTGCTATTCCCGGTGCCTCCCCTCTTTGTGCATCAGGTTTAAAATTGCAGAAAAGTTTGCCAGTGCCAAATCTGGTCCTTACTTTAGTCATGTCACAAAACGGGGGCCTCTTTTTTTCCATCTGATACCACTGACCCAACTATCATCACTTGGAAACTGTCCCTAGTGGGGGGTGTCTAATGAAAGCATTTAAAAAGTGGAATAGTGTAAGTCCATTATTATTTGATAGATCTTAATCTGACTTACTGAAGGAGCACTTCAACAAGAAATGTCATCGCAATTTAAATAATAACAACTGGAATGGAAAAGAACTAAAATGAAATGAGACAAGATGGAAGAAGCTGAAGAGAGTTGAGATGAGACAAAGCACAAGTGTTTTTGCTCTGCAAAAAATGTTAACGCAGCTCCTCATCTTTATATTTTTCACCAGCAGTCAAGATGTTAAAACAACTAGAAGTATTAATCGATCATAAGGACACAAGTCTCTACCGAAACGAGCATGTGGAAATGCACAGGATTTCTGCAGCCCTGTAGAAACACTGACCACAATTTCTGTTAAAGTATTTAGACACTAATATTGTCAAGTCTTTTTCAGCAGTGGATCTTTTAACATTAAGAGGGGTAGAAATTAATTATATTCTTCCATCCAAATTCAGTGGTATATGTTTGAGAGCTTGAGCCCAGACCATGGCATGGTAATTTGCTTTCTTCACAAGATACTCTCGTATTACTTATGGGGGCAGCTTTCCTTGCTGAAAGAGCGGCTTCCTTAGCTGGACAACACTTCTCAGCAACGCACAGTCAAGGCAAACAGCAGGTGAGAAACTGATGCCTTTCAAAAGCTCAGGCTGCCTTTCCTAAATTTTCCATGCTCTCTTTCCCCCAGTACCCAGAAAGTAACTAACAGAGTCACTTACTTGAAACTATGGAAACAAAGAAGACATTGCTTCACACTGTCTCCTATCTTCAAGTCAATGTCATGCATACAAATAGCCTGAAGTGCCTGATCCTGCCTAATCTTGGAAGCTAAGCAGGGTTGGGCCTGGCTGAAATCTGGATGGGTGACTTCAATGTTGTGAACTGCCCAAAAAGCTTCAGCTACGGGCAGTATAATACAGATGTGCCTTGTAGGATTTGTTCACTGCAGCCATATAATTTCAGCTAGGTCACACCAGGTCAAACAAACCAAAAACTCAGTGTGGTCAGATTGAATGACAATTATTGAATAGTGTTCCTGTTGAGTTTCATGTGTGCTTCTTCCTGTTGAGACAACAGGTGTGAAACATCCTTATTACCAGAATATGCAGCTTCTCCTTTTGGAAATCTGTCCCAGTAAGTATATGGCCTTGAAGTGCCTTGCCTTAGCAATCGTTTTCCAAGGAACACTGCAAGGACTTGTCCTCTGGTGAAGGTTGCCTCGGTTAGTCCCAGACATGTCTAATTGTACCACCTGTGAATATCTCTGCTGAGCATTGCTACATCTTTAATTGAGGTGGTGGCTGCATATCGATCCAACACAATGTTCATGACACATGGTCTTGGCTAATATGCAATGTTTTAAAAGAATCTACTAAACCACCAAATGTTTTGCATTTGTAGGTCTCCCAAGTCTCCCTGCAACAGCCATGCCAACCTGTCTCAGGGCATACCTTCCAGTCTTCAAAGGGACCACAGAACCACCCCTGGTCAGAATGTGAGTAACCAGAATTTTATCTTCTGGAGTCAGGGAACCATCTAGTCTTACAACTTAAGGTGATGTGCTTGGCAGCTCAGGTTGAGAGGCTGGACATGCACACGGTGGGCATGTCATAAGCGGAGCCGGCTGGCGCCAGAGGTCAGACTAGATGGCCTGGGAGGCCCCTTCTGACTCGCTCTGTTTCTATGATTTCAGCCATATGGCAGCCATACACCTGCCTGAAGCCAAAACAGAAAGGGAGCTGTTGGTCCAATTTTCCTGCTTTGCTCCGTCTTGTTATGCTTCTGGTATTCCTTTACCCACATCTTTGAATGTGGTCACAGAACCATTTTTTAAAGGTGCTGTGAAATGCTGCCCTGACATTTGGTCCAAGCCTCTCCCGTGTATGTGCGTGTCTGTAACATCTGTCCACTGATTTCTGTTGAACCAAGTCTGCTGCCTTTTCTGAGGACGTTGCATTGCCAGCTGTGATGCACAATAATACATCTGGAAAGCTGAGGACTTGGAAGCTTTAAGACTGATCTTGCAACTGGTCTAAATTTTCATGGTCCTTGTGCTGTCTGGAATGTTCCTCGTTGTGACTAAATGTTCCCTGGGTATCAAGTCCAAAGTGTGCTTTCGCCATTTCTGACAATGGGCCAGTTTCATTGTAGTTCAGTTTCCTTCTTGCGCAGCCAACTTTCTCCAGTTATAACAACTCCAGCTGCTTGCACACTGTTAACATGCTCCAACATGTTAACAGTGTGCAAGGCAGCTGGAGTTATTAATGCTTGGTCAGTTGATATGTGCACAAAGGGTTTTTCTGTAGGCTTCATACCAGAATGTCCTAGGATAAATTCTTGGAAAACACCCGAGTAACTTCTTTCTAGATTTTGCATATCAAGAAGTCATACAGAACCCCAACACATGTGGCTGACTCAGTCACAGAAGGCAATGTCACATTCCCTGAACGTTTCCAAATGTTGCACCCAATGGTTTGCCCTAATTAAGTTCCAGAGAATGTTCACAAAGTCCTAATACAGTGGCCATTTATGTGCATTTATGTGAGTTCTCTTCAAAACATGCTTTAAGCAGTAGTGGAAAAAAGCAACTACATTAATAAATGCAGCATATTTTCTGGAAAATTTGGTAAGTAAGTATCAGCGCATTTCCTGCATTCCAAATGCCTTCATTAGACATGATGGCTGTAAATGAAGAAATAATGCCTCCTTTGCTAGTATACAAATCTGATTCAACACCAGCAAGCTCACTTTCCTGTTATTTTTTTCAAGGAACATGGTCTGCCAGAAATTATGCTTGCCACTTGTATTTGCCTGCAGGGTGACAACTTTGGTAGGGTTTGGACCCAGACACACTGAACGAAAACACCCAAAGAGTTGGTCATCTATTTTAGGCTGTGTTTGAGCACGGGTTTCCAGAACCTGACAAGCGATAGCAATGGATTTTTCTTGGCAGCCTGGTGCCCGCCAGATGTGCCCTAGGGAATGCTGGGAGTTGTAGTCCAAGATATCAAAGTTGTGCAAAGCTGAGGGAAGCTGAGAAGAGAGTGCTTTTTCTTCCTTTCAAAGAACTACACAGAGCTCCAAATCACTGGGAATTTGAAAGTACAGGTCCCAAGTGAGTGAGCATGACTTAGCTGCAGGATCACAACAAAACCACTGTGTATCCCAGCGTTCAGTCTGGGATCTCCCTTCTGCCAGAGGAAGCTACCTCCACCCAGTTCCTTGAGTCGCATGTTCAGGAGGCTGGAAATGCTGTCAAGAAGGAAGTAGAAAAGTCCATTTTCATCATTCCAGTTGTTCCAGTTTAAAATCCTCCAGGCTTTTCAGCCTTTCAGTTGTAAACATTTCATTAGTGCACGTTCAGTTCTCTGCACTGTGGCTGGCTTTAATCGAGGTTTCTGTTTAGTTTTATTTTGTTACCAATAATGTTTATATTCTCATTTATGGCCCTTTTGGATTGGATACATATCTTGGGAGGTGCCCAGAGAGCTATAGCTAGTAGGGATAGAAAAAGAGACACAACTGTATGCATGTTTAGATTTTAAAAGTCCTACAGCTGTTTTATTTATTTAGGAGACTTCTATGCCGTCCCATTCGCTGAAGCCTCGGGGCGGCTCACATCCAGCTAGGGGGATGCTGGTGATTGTGGGATTTATTTTTGCCTAAACATGTGCAGGGGACATGCGCAGGGGGCTGCAGGTGGCACAGTGGTTTAAACCGCTGTGCTGCTGGGCTGGTAGATTGAAAGGTCACCAGTTCGAATCTGCACAACGAGGTGAGTTCCCGTTGCTCCGTCCCAGCTCCTGCCAACCTTGCAGTTTGAAAGCATGCAAATGCAAGTAGATGCAAATGCAGGTAACAGCGTTCCGTGCACTTTGGTGTTTAGTCCTGCCGGACACATGGCCACGGAGACTGTCTGCAGACAAACGCTGGCTCCCTCTGCTAGGAAATGGAGATGAGCACTGCCCCCTAGAGTCAGACATGACTGGACTTAATGTCAAGGGGAAACCTTTACCTTAAACATGTGCAGGATTATACCTAAACACATAAACAATAAATGAACAATCTTCAAGGTGCCAGAACAAGCTGGATGTCTAAAAGTTTCTTTTGACAGTGGAAGAATTACTCCTCCAGAACTCGTTTCCACAGCTTTTGAAAGCTTCTCTAGACCTGTATAACTGCAGACAGAAGGTTGGCATGTTTGGATTCCTCCAGCCGGCAAGCTCCTTGCATGTAGAAATCTAGCTTGTCAGTGAGAAGACTTCTCGATTCGTCGCTTTTTAAAATTGTTTTGGCCTCCTCCTCCTCCTCCTCCCTCCTCCGCCTGGCCTCATCCCAGCAGCCCTGCGTTCCCAGCGACCTCTTTCCAGGTGGAACCCGAGCAGGCTAAGCCGGAGCGCGCAGGGGAAGACCTGCGCGCGCTTCCTTGCTCTGTGCGTCGGATGGGCCGTGACACACCGTCGCCGCTCAGCCTCGGCGGGGCAGCCGCGCGGAGGTGGCCAGCCGGGCGCAGGCGCCGAGGAGCCGGGCTCGCGCGAGCGGCGTCTCCTGCCTGCCCGCCGCCCGGGGCGCCTCCGCCGCCAGCGGCGAGGGGTGCGGGGGGCAGG